TTTATCGCTAGAGTTGTCGTTTGTGGGCCTAGGATTTTCCCTACACCTATCCCGAACAACAGTTTCATAACCATTAAAAATGGCTATTTGCCGAGCCAACTTCCGGGACTCCTCTCTCTGCTCCCTTCCTGTGTACACGCCGGTAGCCGTTCGAAACATGTTTCTCACAAGCGCCCTTTTCGTGTGAGAGTGGTCTGTTTTTCTGGTGAGATGGGCACATTACGATTCCATGTAAACTCTGTGCGGCTGGTCTCAAGCGGTGAGTGTGCAAAAACTCTGTGTTCAATCTGATTGAAATTTTGGTTCAGCTTTTTCTCTGTTTGGTTATGGAGGTGTTTGGCAGTGTAGATTGCAGTCAACTTGACCTTTCCAGGCTCTGAGGAAGGCAAAATCCTCCGAAACGTCAGCTTGTACGTAAATAAAGAAATAAAGTAACACCTTGTGTCTGCTAAACAGAAGTAGAAAGAGTTATTCAATCAATGCCGAGGTTAATAGAAAGTCGGACGTGGGAGTTACTGAAAGTTGGTTCGACCAACTTCCATTCGCATATTTCAAAGAAGAATCCTTCTCTACCGTAATATGTGAAATATGGCAGTTGGTATATAACCTTCTTGGAGGCCAATGGCAATGCATCTAGTTTTGCCGAAGGCACTGTTAATAATAATAATAATAATAATAATAATAGTAATAACAATAACTTCATTAAGGATCATTGGAGGTGATTAAATGAATATGCGGCCTTTACAATGACTTCTGGTGCCCTATCGATGTATCCAGGCAGTGCTGCTATCCTCCCGGACAAGTCTGGTGCCAATTTGCATACCACGCAGGTGATGGTGGGTTTGGTGAGCCTGGGGCGCTAGGATCGACCCCATGTATATTGCGAGGCGCCTCTAACCACTGCGAAACACGTGCGCCATCGATGGCACCGTTATGTTAAAAAATTGGCCGAAAGAAAGGAAAAGCAAGTGCTCAGTGGTGCAGTGGATAACACGTGAGTTGCCAGGAAGAAATTATCATGGGTTCGAATCTGGCCTGAGACCAAGTTCTTCAAACATCTTAGCATCATCGCAGTTGTATTTCACATAATACCCTACCATGATGGGAAATAAAAAGTTAAGCATTACCTGGTTTTTTCCTCCATATCGTAACCATGAAATTCTTCATGGATCACCTGGACCTTAGTCTGTTGTGCTATTGATTCATGAGCAATGACAAGTTCAGTTAACTTCATTGTCTTATATGCTGGCTTCTTTTGCCATTTGCAGAGTGATGGTAGCAATTCACCTTCTGCTTTCACAATAGATGTCCCAATCGAAAGCGAAGTAACAAGACTTCGATCTGATGACTGCATATGAAGGAGACTTTGGAGCACTGCAGAGCGTCTCCATTATAACACCAGATAAAGCCACGATACCACCATTAAACTTGTCAATGAGAAAAGAAGATTTTTTATTGTCAAACCATAACCGAATCCCTACCGGAATCCTACAATCATCATGGATGACGGCTGCAAGACGAAGAATCCGGTAGGAATATGTTGGCGCGCACGCAATATTGGAAAAGACGATGTGCTATCTTTCCAGGTGGGAGAAAAAGCGCAGTAAGCCTTCATTCGCGTAGTATTTCACAATAAACCTCGTAGTAACATAAATATTACCAACAGTGTTTCATAAATCGACTACCCTTTAACCTCGGCATGACTAATCAACATGTATTTTCCACTGATAAGCTAACACAAGGCTGGTGGAAAACTTTATTCAGCTAATGTCCTGGCACTTTCGTCTTCCTCCGAGTTGATGATCCTAGTCGATTTCCACAGTTGTTCGTACTCTCGATATGGCGTCTTCGTCGTGGTATCGAGTCGGATCTTCTTCAGTGGAGCAATTGAGGAATTGTCTCCTTCAAGCCATGCTCCACTAGAGAAGATCCGACTCGATACAACAACGAAGACAGCACATCAAGAGTAGGAACGACTGTGGATCTCGACTTGGATCATCGGATATGAGGAAAATGAAAACGTTGCAATGTTAGCTGAGTAAAGTCTTTTATAAAGCTGGTGTTAGCTTGTCAATGAAAGAATACGTATTGACTATCAAAACTATTTAGGTTTATTGCATGCCAGAACCCAACGTGCTTGAGACGCCCTTCATTACCACCTCATAATAGTTCTGCCGAGAGCAAGCATTAATACTTTAAATATCATAAGCAGAAAGTGGACAGAAATACTCATACCATGTAGGTCATCCTCATATACTCTCACTAGTTAAGCACATTGGGTAAGCCTTCAATTCCAATGAATACAACAGCAAGAATCTACATAATGTGTGTGGCATAGCATTGGTAGTTGGTTTTTCAAACAGTCTAGTAGTTCGGTTTGATTCTGACGAAAAATAATCTTCAATGGGAATTTTGGAAATAAAATCCACCACTATAATGCTGAGATATTTGCAAAATCCCGGACAGCAGATGTCTGCGGTGGGGAACGAACGCACTATCGTCCTTTCCGGGGAGAAACGCGTTCACCACCACACCATCCGGGTCTTTCGTTTCGCCTGTCTCTCAGCTAAAAACAATAGGCAGTAAATAAAAAGGTTAAGATTGTGATTATAACTATAGCCTCTGCTTAACTGGGTTCAATGCCGATTTGAGCTCTCCAAATCAAACCCGTTGACGGGTGATTGCTGATGGCAAAAGATCGATAGAACTAGCTGAGAGACAAACGAAGGACCTGGATGGTGTGGTGGTGAGCGTGTTACTCCCCGGTAAGGACAACAGCGCGTGTTCGTTCCCCACTGCATACACCCGTGGTCCGGAGTTTTGCAAATATCTCAGCATTTCATACGAGTTGTAATTCGAAACATACCCTGCCATTAAGAAGAAAAAGGCAGTAAATTAAAGAGTTAAGATTGTGATTATAACTATAGCCTCTGCTTAACTGGGTTCAATGCCGATTTGGGCACTCCAAATCAAACCCGTTCGCGGGTGATTGCTGATGGCAAAAAGATCGATAGAACTAGCTGAGAGACATGCAGAGCGAAGGACCCGGATGGTGTAGTGGTGAAGTGCGCTGCTCCCCGGTAAGGACAACAGCGCGTATTCGTTCCCCACTGCATACACCTGTGGTCCGGAGTTTTGCAAATATCTCAGCATTTCATACGAGTTATAGTACCACTATTCTCCCGAGGGCGCCTGTGGCACAGTGGTTGGAGGCGCCACTGCGACACACACGTGGAGTCAATCCCCGCGCCTATGGCCCACTAAGCCCTCCATCCTTGCGGGGTCGTCAAATTGGTACGAGACGTCTGGCAGGATAGCACTGGCTCGATACATCGGTAGATCACCGCAAGTTACTGTAAAGGCAAGATGTACATTCAATCATCTCCGAACGATGCCTAGTGAGGCCGAATGCATGGCGCATCCTTCAGAGATTGATCAACGCCGAGAGCTCTTTTATCTTCCAGACAGATCTCTTTTCCCAGGACGGACTTCCTTTTAATCTTGGCATTGATCAATAATACACTGCTTTTTTGATGAGAAAACACAAGGTTGTTATTAGAGCATTTACCAATTCCCATTGGCCGACATTTCGGCGGCTTGGCTTTTTTTAGACCCTGTAAAGGTCAAATTGACACTTAATCCACTCAGTCAAACACTTTCATAACTTCAGTAAAACAAAGCTAGTAAGTATCAGGTAGATTAGATGTACAGATATTTTGGCATCGTTAAGTAGGAAACTTGCTGAAAGAAAGTCAATGCAAGAACGTCAGTGATTCAATGAGTAACATGATAGCCCACGGAAAAGGTAATCGCGAGTTCCACCTGGCCTCGGGCTCGGAGTTCTACAAATATCTCAGCATCGTAGTGTTGTACTTCGCATCATACCCTGCTGTGAAAATTAATAATAGGCAGCAAATAAAAAGTGAACGTTAATAGGCATTGGTTTTTTAAGTCTTAAAGTTTCGCTACAATTTTTGCAGGCATTATTATCACTATATTTATAAGTTCTTATCAACCGATCTTGTTCAACTGATCCAAGGGTGGCATAAATTTTCGTTGTTGTTGTTTGGTCGATGGCAGAGGTTTAGGCGATTTCGATTTGCTTAGAGCCGTGCTGTTACCAGTAACGATCAATAATACAGTCTATAGTGTTAACTTTTTATTTACTAGGCACTACAGTTTTTCATGGCAGGGTATTATGTGAAATACAACCACAATGATGCTAAGATATTTGCAAAACTGCAGACCACAGGTGTCCGTGGTGGGAATCGAACACGTTATTGTCCTTTCAGGAAGCTAACGGGTTCACCACCACACCATGCCGGTTTTTCCTTCCCCTTTCTCTCAGCTAGTTCTCTATCTGCTAGTGCCAATCACAACATTGACGGGATTGATCTGCTCAGCACAAATCGGCATTGAACTTAGTTATGCAGAGGCTGTAGTCGAAATGACATCGCAGACAACAGACACCTGCGGTCGGAGTTTCAGATTCATCCTATTTTAAACAAGTGATCAACTTATCGGTCAATTTTCCGTGATCGCTCATCGAAGCATCTTCTAACTTATGAATATGTTTCCAGAGTGACTCTTATCTGATAGCGTAGGTTTATCACATATGTTGTTTGTGTCGGATGCTTTAAAAGCACCCGAAATGATGAGATTTGTCATTTTTCACTTCACTTCGTTCACAACGCTATGAATGAGGAGGAGGATGATGATGTCGCCTTAAATCCGGTTGCTTATCTTTTTTTCAGTGTAGTTACACTTTTTTATCCTCATTAACTAGTGAATTTAAGTGTGGAATTCGTAGACAGTCGGCAAGCATGAGGAGCACTGAAGTGCTTCGGACTTCATCCTTAGACCCACACTAACTAATACTCTCATGTAAACATTACTGAACGATGCAAGAGATTTAGCACTATTTGCTCTGATACTATAAAAGCAATGTTGTTACTGCACTTTTTCCATGTAAAGGGTAAGTAATTCGGTACACTTTTTAGGGAATGGTGATTGAATCCTCGAAAGGTAACTATGTGGTGATGAAACTTTTGGGTGAAGGTGGATTTGGGGCTGTATACAAGTAAGTCGATTGGGTTATGCATGTTGTTTCGTGCACTAAAAACAAGTGGCGTTACTTAATATTTTCTAACGTAGAGAATCTAAGACGGCAAAATTAACTAGCCCAGCTAACATTACTTCCTTGTGGTGCATGTGGCGCGGTGGTTGGAGGCGACACTGCGACACACACGTGGAATCAATCTCTGCGTCCACCCACCAAGTATTCCATCCTTCCGGTGTCGACAAATTGGTACCAGACTTGTCTGGGTGTCTGGCACTAGCTCGATACATCGGTAGGCCATCGCGAGTCATTGTAGAAGACCAGATATGCTTCCAAGCACCCCAACGACATTCAATGAAGTCGAATGCATGGCGTCTCTCTCAGGGATTGATCAAACACTGTTTTTTACAGTATGACATTGAAACTGTATGCATGTGATAGCTTTTCTCACGATTTAAAATTAAGAGTTCGTGATCAAAAAAATCCACTGAATGAGTACGCAATGAAAGTTGAAAAGAAGCTGAAAAGTCGCCGACATTCAAAGTTGAAGATGGAGGTGAAATTTTCATACTAACTAAGAAATAATCGAAAAAAACATGTGGGATGGGCCCGATGGCAACAACGATACAACTACGATCTAGTGTCTGAACTCTTTTCACGGAAAAGCACCTGACTGTGATGGTTCCCTCCTGTCTTATTCGTCTGATAATCGTCACTTGTAAATGCGTCGTTTTCTTGTTCAGCAATCGCTAGGCTGTTATACAACATACGTTTACTTCCGTAGGAAACCACATACGTTACAACAGTAGCTGAGTGTTCGGCAATATCGCCTTCGTCATAGCCTGAAGCGGTACATTGATATGCTGTATAGCAGTACCCATATCAGTATACCCTTCCAGGCTCTAAAGAAGGCGATAGTGCCGAAAAGTCAGCAACTGTTGTATTGTATGTGGTTTTATACAGAAGTAAAGGTATAACAACCTCGCGACTACTGGACAAGAAATCGATGCATTTATAATCCGCTGCCGAGGTTAATAGAAAGTCGATCCTGGGAACTCTTTATTTAATACAAAGCGAGTCAGCTATATGGTTTGGATCAAATGTATGTATTCGAGCACGACGGCCAGTAGCGAACAGAACGTGGCCGTTTTCTCGTGAGGCACGGAGAGCAGCACTTTCTTGGTACTTGAATACCACAGCTTAGATGCTGTAGAACACCCGTTGTATATGGTAATTTGAGAAACGTAACTACCTTCCTAATCACTATGAAGTCGTAAACTACTGAAAGCTAGGAGGCGGCACCGGATCATACGTTGTCACTCATCATGTTATATTATTCGACTCTGGAATTTCTGGCAGACGAAAGCAATCGCCAAGAAAGTTCCAAGAAATTAGTCCAAGGATTTGATGTTTCAGAACCATTGGATGTTGAGCGACCTAAGAACTATTCAAGGTAGCCAAAAAGTCCAACAAATGATACAATATGATCTCACTATTGCACGCATTGTTGGAAATTCCTAGACCTTAGCAAGACCTGGTCATTCATCTCCTTGTCGCTTTATAAAAAACTATAAAGTTTGCATGGTGTGATCCCGACTGGAAGATAAACTGATTAAAAAGACGTAACCGACTGACTATATGACAGAGATAAAAGTCATCAAAGCTGAGAATTGTGCAGAGGATTATACTGAGTGCTAATGACTCTTCTGTCTAGTGAATGATATAGTACAGCTAATGTCTCTACTATGATGTTATTCGGTATCCATACTTGCCATAATCGCCCTACTTTTATTCTTCATAGTTTGAGCTTTAAGTTTATTCGACCTAAGAATACTCGGACTCGCTTGCGATAGGCGGGGTATATTCCAAGTCTGTAGTGAAGAAAAGCGCCTAATCTCACTAAGCATAACTATAAATAGGAATGATATGAGTCCCGAGTTAAAAGAAGTTCACATCTAGTTAACCTCCAGAATAATCCAAATATAAATCTCATCACCTAGCCCGTGATCGGTACAGATCGATGAAATGAGCACAGATAGCAATTCTGAAAGTCGTATCACAAGAGAGGAAGCAATCCCATTTCACTGTGATCATCGATCGAGGAAAGAAAGCGAAATTCTACTTTCTCGTCATGGAACTTGTTGGTAGCAGTTTAGCTTCACTAAAGATGTCACTACCGACACGGGTTAGTTCTGTTGGCAATATGTAAGAAAAGATCATAAAGAAAGGAAAGATGCATCGTGAATAAGAATTTTCAAGTCCGTGCTTTCTTTTTTAAGATGTTTTCGTTGTCTACCGCTATGGGAGCCAGTATTCAATGTCTAGAGGCCTGCGAGGATCTTCACAAGTATGGATTCATTCATCGTGATTTGAAACCGGCTAACTATGCATGTGGCTTAGGAGAGAAAAGAAGAATTGTGGGTTCCTGAGACCTTTAATATATACTTCCGTGTGAAATCATTCAAAACAAATTTTCTTATGAGGAAGGTAGTGTGCCTCAGTACGAGACTGGAGAGCAATCCTTATATTTGTAAAACGAATAGAAAGAGAAATAACATTTTTGTCGTTGAATAGCTTCAGGTGTACATCCTCGATTTCGGAATTGCACGAAAAATCTTGAATTCAAAAGGCGAACTGAAGGCGCCACGTGAATTTGTACGATTTAAGGTATGATGTTCAGCTTCATTACAGTCGTCTCATCAGTAGTTGGGAAAAAATTGCTTAAGTGTTCATTACTTTACCCTAAAAGATAAACAATGTGATGACAGAGATGCTACGTAATTACTACCGTAAAAAGTGCTCCATCTGAGTTCATTGAAAATCGATACGTTAAAAAATTCGACAAATTGATGGATTCTCGATCATATAGTTTCTACGTTGTTGATAGGCGTTTTGGGAATAGATGACTCTGCAGCGCACTTTTTTAAAGTGGTTTCTTAAGGGAACGATTCGTTTCGCATCAATAGCTTGCCATAGAAATGTTGAGATGAGTGCAAAGGACGATTGTGAATCGTGGTTCTATATGCTGCTCGACTTTTTAGCTCCAAGAGGTTCTACTTCCAATTTGTTTCAGTACTAAACTTGCTGGACTGTTCATAAATGAATCCTCTATAGAGTGAATGAAGGTGAAGCGGTGGAGTTATGACACCAGTTCAAAGTGACTTGTATCGCGGCTATTCGTTATGAACAAAAAAAAGCCATTGACTTACAAAATTATGAACGATATCACGGATTTAGGTTTGGTTTGGAAATCGATCTGCAATAAAACTATTGTGATGAATTTGAAAAAAGAAATCCGTACATCACTGAAGGTGAAAACTTTACCATGGATCTTAGCCATTATTATACTCCACCACCGTTCCATGAACCTAAAAAGCGGAGAAAAGGGGACGTCATTTCTATATATGGAATCAGATTCGTACAAAAACTTAGGCTCGATTGAAACCGTTAGCCATTTTCAGGAGTTGGCATTCGACGGGGTTAAATGTAAAGCAGAATTGATTGAAATCATGTCGTATCTGGATAAACTACAATATCATGATCATGTCGACTATAGTTATATCTATACTATTTTAACAATGGTGAGTACTCATAATATCCTTTGTATTTATAGATGTTTTACTTATATTTATGTAACTCATGTCCATACATTGCACTGTCTCCACAATTTCTTTCATTCGGCTAGTTGTCCGGCCTACGTCATCCGTAAAAGTCTTCAAATCGGAGTTTGGGTACGATAGTCACTCGATGACTTTGTCTTCTTCATAAACGTCGAATACTAATCAATCTGATTACCCTTGGAATCCTGGGAATAACCCGTAAAGGCATTCCAAGGTTTTAATTACAAGCAGTCGCCGGAATTTGTGGACCGCAGAGAATGAAGCTTATGGTTTTGAACATTCATGAACATCGTGGCAGGCAGCCACAGTTTTTATTTCCTTTGTTAGCAAGACGCTTTGGAAGGATTTCTAAGGAGACACTTCTGCATGATATCATAAACGATGAGATCATTTCCTCTATATAGGTTTTACTGCTGTAAAAATAGTCGTCCACGGATCTCGCTTACATGAGGGATCTCGAGCCGGTTAGTCGCGAGGCTACGTGGCGCGTTCCCAGGTAGTGGATAGGGAGTTAATCGAGTACCAAAAGCGACCCCTGCTTCCTGAGACGCAGGTGGATCCATGGGATGGATTCCCTGTTTCTGCTGCGCCGATTTGGAACATAATTTCTGTATTTGCTAAGCGTATCATGCATGCGTGTGTGGGTCCGTTCTCGCTTATACGGATTGTATTCTACGAGTCAATTCGGCCAAAAGCCTGCAACCAAGTGACAGGGAAGTATATGGGAGGCGGTTAGGAGTCACCTCCAACAAATAAGCTCCATGTCCACTCTGGAAAATACTGGCAAGCCACCCGTGAGTTTGCCTAGTGCCCACGTTCAGAATCCAGCAAGCTATATGTGGGTATCAAAATGTTAAACACAGTAAAAAAAACCGGCCTCATTCTCCCGACCACGAAAGAGCCCCCAATTTCGCACCGTTGAGTAGGACGAGTACGGAGAGGCTGCCAAAATCTCAGGGCCATTGGAAGCTGCCTGGATTACAAAGAACTACGGTGACGATCTGCACCTACAATGCACGTACGCTTGCATCCGAGTCCTCAATAGAAGACTTGCTCATGCAAGCAAGAAGGTTGAGGTAGGATGTCATCGGCCTGCCCGAGACGAGACGACGCCACCCATTCAACGCCGTCTATGACATCGGAGAAGAAATGTTCCTCGGAACATGCGACAGTAGAGGTGTCGGCGTTCTTGTCAACATGAGTTTGTCCACGAACATTCATTCGAACAACTAACAACCCGAATCGGACGTTTACGATAAAAAGATGTAGATCAGTACCGGCTTTGACAATCTTCGTCGTTTACGCGCCGAGATCAAACTATGACAAGGAAGAAGTCGAAGCGTTCTATATGGACTTGGAGAGGTTCTACACAGAAGACCATACATTCTCTGAGGCTATCACTGGAGGTTACCATTTCAACGCCAAGATTGGACCAAGAAGAACGTCTGAAGAACGTCACCTTGGGACCCATGGATTAGAATGGAACGAACAGGGTGTCCGGCTGTCTGAGTTTATGACGACCAAGACCATCCATGGTAACCCGCAATTCCAGAAGCCCCACCCTCAACGCAGGACGTGGGAGTCTTCCTATGGAGAGTACTATAACGAAATAGACCACACCATAGTAAATAGGTTTTGCCTAACCGACGTCGCTATTGTCCCTAGATTCTACACGGGATCAGACCATCGTCTCCTTCGTGCAAGATTCTATTTCTCGCGTAGAGGAGAAAAAGCCGCTAAATTCCAAAACCGAAGTCCCAGAACCACCGTAAAATGGAATCTATTCAATTCTTAGTCGACTGTTGGGAAGCTGCCGTTGTCGATAACATCGACGAAGAATACGATCGGCTCATTCAACATCTTCACGTAAGCTCTATGAAAGCTGAGAGTTCGAAAGTCACCAGGAGACATCTGCCTCCAGAAACACTCGAGCTGATACGCCAGTGTGGAATCGCGCGGGCTGCAGGCGACCGCGAACTAACGTCCGAACTTGCAAAACAATGCAGACAAGCGATAAAAGGAGATCTTAAAGAGAGAAGAGCAGTGGTAATGGTCGAAGCTGCAGAGGCTGGGAAAAGCATTCGCGAAGCGCACCGAAGCGTCGCCAATTACAAGACCAAAATGATTGGAAAAGTGAGTCGACCAGCATTCTGGGTCGGTCACAAAGAAGACGAAATCTTTAAGCAGCAACCGAAGCAACACGCGAAACGCTCGAAGACCACTGTAAACGATGAATGGGAAGAAAACGAATCGAATGTAAGAAATGCTGGGATCCGCACAGTAGATGTGATGACGGGTCGTTTAAAATGAATAAGGAAAACATCGAATCTAAAAACTAAAGGACTGGTAAGAGTTCAGTTTAACGCTTAATATTCAATTTAGGCCACCATAGCTGCTGGTGGTGATCTGAGCAAACCATACGATTGGGAAGTTGGTGATGATCCTACGCAGATTGGGACGATGTTCGTTTCTGTTTATTCGTACATGAATTTTCTTTCCCACAGAATGGCTTCAACACTTTGGACTTCCATTGGCGTATGAACAGAAATTCATGCTCGTCAGCAATATTATATCCTATGATTCCCACTTTTCCTTGAGGATTAGTTGGGGCATACAAAATACTCTATTACTTTGATGATTCGTCGCCACAAATGGGGCAGCATATTCGTCTTGTTCCTTTCCACTCTCGCTTGTGTGGACGATTTGATTCTTATGTAGCTAAATATACGAGTATCGGAAACTTGAAATTCGTCTTAACCTCCTACGTGGGTCTGAGTATGGAAGATCTTTTCAAAAAGCCCGAAGACGTTTGATGTTTTGCAGAAGTCGTTTGTTACATCCATTTACCTTACGGGTTACGTGCTAGTGCAAAATTATACACGGACAGCCGTTAATCTCGATTCATCCTTAATTAGAGTAAGCGTTCCTAATGAACAGTCTCTTCCCGTTTATTTCGGATCTTTCTTATTACTATTTTCCAAAGGTATCATCCGCTTCCTTGAGCTCTTTGGTAATTGTCCTTCGTGGGAATTTCTATGAAAAGGTGATAAAGTTGTCAACAAGACGATTGTTTGGCAGGAACTTTTCTATAGATGTCTACGTCTTTCTTGTTCTGATCGAGTGACTTCACTATCCATTCCCAATGTGGTTTTAACGAATCCCCTAATCGCACCGGATCTTTTACGTTGATGATGAAACGGCGATGTGACCATTGTACTTTTGCGAATACTCAACGGGCAACGTCAAGATGGCGTTTATCTCGAAGGTGCCAAGTTTTCTGTAAACAAGAAAATTTCCACAAATACGCAGTATGTCACACATAGGTTATAACAAGACATAGCAACGTAGTTGTTGTCGTCCACTTCGAACGAAGTCGAGTGTTACATTTTCTGGGTCTACGTATGTCCGGCTCTTCATCTTCACGTCCTTACTGGAGGAACCCCAGGTTCTTTTTCATGAAAGCAGTGTATTTCAAGCGCTAAATAAAGTCCGCACCAACTACGTTTCATGGAATAGTGTCAAGTGATACGAAAAGCATCAATATGGGCTCCATTCATCATTTTCGGGTGTCACAACTGCCATTTGGCTGCGCTCGCAACAGTGAAACATACAGTATCATAAGTTTTGTACTGCCAGCTTTATTTACACCTTTTTTCGCAGGATCGCACTCAGAAGTGTTTAGGTTGTTGGATACCCCTGTCGGTAATGTGAGGCCTATTTATTGGAGGCCAACTGGAACCGCCCCCTTCGTACAAACTCAGTTATTTGGATGAATGCTTCGGGCCGATTCGAAGCGTATAAACGCAAAACTATCGGGCATATCATGAGTACGGTGTTCATAGCGCATGTATATGTTAATCTAGTGCAGCATTTCCAGAGAGCCCATTTCTTTTTTAAATTGCTCCTAATAACCAACCTGAGAACTTTTCTCCACATTAACGGACTCTGCATATGTCACTGATACCTCACATGGGCTGATCAGTAGCCATAATCCAACAAGTAATAGAAGTGAGAACTAATGAAATGATATGGAAATGATTTTCAGTGAGGAGAACGTAATTCGGGGTAAGATCATGGCTGAGAAGAAAAGACAAGAAAAGCTCCAAAGACGACTACAAAAAGGAAGAGAAAGAAAGGGAAAACGACTTCGTTCAACAACGAAATTGCAAAAAACTGTAGGAGGGACGTTAGTTCATCAACAACGTCAACAAATCTCAAAAGTAGCCAAAACGGTAGGAGAGGTCGCACCGAAAGTAGCTGCTGCTGAAAACGTCTCAACACCGAAAGTAGGTAGTGCTGAAAAACATCATGCCGAAACTAGCAAGTTAGCTGCGCCAGAAACCAGCAGTACATCAACATCGGGAGCGCTCGCAGTAGGCAGCAAACAGAAGATTCTAAGATCGAAGAAGACGAACAGAAAAGAAACTTCCAGTTCATCGTCAAGCGATTCGGAAACACGCTGCACTTCTGGATCCGACGCCATCCAACCAATTAATATGCGAAATGCACCATTCTAAATGTGCCGTCGTTAATGAACGCTTAATTATGGCCCATTTATCAGCTTCTCGTGGCACTATGTAGTTGAGAATCATTATTTTAAGTAAAATACCTTGCATTTTCTAAAATAACCCTAAGTTTTGGTCTCGCTATTCTACTCGAGTCAGTTTCGCCTTCTTGAGCTTTGACGTTTCTATTTACAAGTAATTCGCTTCTGTTTTTATAACACTATGGAGCATCGATTTTGCACTGACTAATAAAGTTATTGTTATTTGCTTATTTAATTAGAATTTGGAGAACCAGAATAGCAAAGAAAAAGAAGGAAATTCGAGTGGTTCTTGCACATTCAGACTCTGATGTAAAATCATAATTACTGCAATATCGGTGTAATATTCGGTCAGCAAACTATTAAGGATCACCCGGTGCTGTCAACGGTGACCGCTGACGATGAGAATTGATGATGACCGCCTGAAGTCATTAACTGAATCAGATGCACTACTAACGTTTCGAGATCTTCAGCAAAATACTTGAGATGAAACAAAAGTTTCAGAATTCGACTTGAACAGAACTGTATAAACCGAGTAGACAGTACAGGATTGATGTTATACGACCCTACTTGTGCAATAAAAACGACAGCGCATGACTATAAAGTGACATGGTAGGAGAAATGGATTCTATATGACAATTAAAACGTTTTAAGGGAGTAGCAGTGGGAAAAAAGGAATAATTTTCAAACCTAACTTTGTAGAATGTCGTAGTGACTGCAATCTATCATGATCTCTTCAATCTTAATGAAACATAGTAGCCCAGTATTGTTTATATGCAACCAGCAGTGGTGATCATTCGAAATACGCCAGTTCTGCTCCAGAACAACATCCATCCATGTGTAGTATAAGCAATTTTGTTTTACACCGATGTACTGATAAACCAACAAAATTGTTGCGAGAAGCTTTTATTGTGACTAACGTTCCGACGCCTTCGAGCCCTTCAGACTTGCCTTGATTCGAGTGAGCCGAATGTTCACAGCAGTCAACGTTTCTCATGACGCGGGTCTTCGTAGTCGAATCGAATTGAATCGACATGAGTGGAACACCGTTCGAATAATCGACACCGCCTTTCACTCAATATCGGAACTGATAATCCATGTCATTGTTTATTGAATCAATAGTGACTTGAACGCTACGATGGCCCCGGTATACAACACATCCATCACACTCATCTCACCTGGCTAACTGAGCCACTTATACCAGCACTTAGACAACTATTTGTTGTGAAAGCTTCAGCTCGGGAAATTTGGCAATCATGTGATCATCGGTGAATATATTGCCTTTCAAGCAAGAAGTGTTCACCAGGAAACAAACACTGACTGAATTCTAAAGCGCCTGTGGAAGGAATGGCTTTCGACTGAATCGCAAACAAACGACGAGCGATTTCGTTCTCGAAGCTCCGTTCACACTGTACTGAGTGAGCATTTTCGACTACTCCAACTGTATGTAGCTCAGCAGTGAACTTGGCATGATGAAAGAGAACTCCAAGCAAGGAGAAACGAGAGGATAGTGGAGCTTACAAGAGCGTCGAGGATGCAGTGGAATAAGAAAAAAACACTAGGCTCCCTAACTACCTGTTCGACTTTACGATTCTGTCTACATAAGCATAAGCGTAGAAGACTTACACGTTTGTAACTAGGAAAAAATGTCAGTTATTGTTAAGGTCGAATGCACTATCGAGAGGATGACATTATCCCACACTAAGCAAGCAAGTGAGATGGAATTTCAAACATCCACTATATCAAAGTTTAAGGATCAAAATGGCTACCGTACCCGCTAAGAAATCGAAAATTAGGTGGGCCAAAAAATTATGCGTCTTCATGACAACCAGTAGACAAAAGTCATCAACGACTTAGCGAAACGAGTTGAACAAGATGGTAATCGATCTGATGGTCAGACTTCTTCACAAAGACCCAAGAATAAAATTATGATGCTGTTCAAGTGGATATAGTGACCAAAACCCATTTGATTACTTTTGCATGTGACAGATATAAATGGAAGCCGCCAGCACGGCTCGAGCAACTGCAAGACCATTGCAAGCACATGTTTCATGGTAAAACGTAATTCTTTCTTCCTTTTAATTTATTGTGTAAAGCTTCCTAGTATTATCTGACCTCATTTCTTGACTGGGCGCGTGTGGCGCAGTGATCGGAGGCTCCCTGCAATACATATGAGACTGATTTCCGCAACCCTGGCCCACCAAGCCTTCCATCCTTCTCTAGGAGGATAGAAGCACTGGCTCGATACATTAGTCAGCCACCGCGAGTCATTGTAAAGGCCAGATATGCATTCAATCACTTCCAAACGATGCTTAATGATGTCGAATGTATGGCGTATCCCTCAGGGATTGATCAAAGCCGAGAGCTTCATCCTTTTATCCTTTTATTCCCTTGTTTGGCTCTCCTATTTGTGAAATGTGTTTTACATCACAAAAACTGCAATTAAAACTTATATACGCCCAAAATCTTTTAGAAAATATAAAACACGGATTCAAAACTGAACAATGCACGGAAAGCGAAGTGTGGAGACATTTAATAACTATACCTAACTGCGAATAACTGTAAGCTTTAAAAGGTGATCAAGTTGGCTACAGAAGAGACGAGAGAACGTAGCGCATCCTGTTGAAGAATGTCTGGAACGAACGAGAAAAAGAACTAGAAATTGTTTAGAACAGCAGACTTAGTCATGCTTTTTGAAGACATTACGAGTGATCTACAAAGATGCAGAAACTCACCGCATATAACCGTATGGCATGGCTTATACTGCTCGTGTCAGTCATCTCACGAATGGAGTGCATAGCTAATTGAGGGCAACCAACATCAATAGTTTGAATACCCAAGCGTGCCGCCAAAATTGGACCAACGGTTGAACCACAAGGTGAATCATTGCGAACAACTACTCTCTACAACACACCATCTTGGAAACTAAACCATTCTTAAAGTGCAGTTTTTGATGATGAACAAATTCGAAAAGTTGGAATCACAACACACTTGCAGCGGTACATTTGCTTCAGCTGCTACTTGCTTTAGTAAAGCATGAGTTGTTGACGTGGTGGCGTACCGTTGGTTGACGTTAACTTTCACAACAACGCCGTCATGAAAGCGGGGACGATGATTATCCTAAAATTATGGTCTTTTGGAAAACCTGTTTAAAGAAAAAAGCTTAGTGTTATTTCGATAGAGACGTATCTGGATTTCGCCCTTATAAATTCCAAACCTTGTTATTGCAATGTAAGCCACTTTATAATGGAAAATTTAACATATGGTAGATAGCAGAACAGTAAACGTTAACCAGCTTGGGCAATGACCCGGACCCACTACAGTTATGAAAACGCTTACTTCGTGTTTATCGGCGTAATTTGGATGTGAAGCGTGTGCCTGATCGGCAGAGATCAGAACACTACGACCGATCGCCTGCTCGAAAGCATGTGGCTGACCGCCAAAGTTTAGTCTTTTTAAGACATACTCAGTGAAGGATGATTGTGCACCCATTGCAGTTTGCGAACCCACCTTAAAAGTTCTTGAATAGTTTACGATTCATTCTAAGATTCATATATATATCACACCTTGTACCAAAATCTACCTCCTCATTATCAAAACAAGCAACAATCCGAATGTTGGAGTCATTGGATAAAAGTCGTTCGTCTTTCACTGAAGTTATTAGTCCTTGAATAGCGGTGTATGTACCTAAAAGATTATCCAGACGCGCTCCCACAATAAATTCTTCTTTCAGACCACCGATTCTCTGAAAATGTACAACACAACGCATGAGAAATAGTTTTGGGACAACTGTATTCTACGAAATTTGGACCGTAATATATAGATCTTATTTTCTCCCACAGTGATACATTTGAAGTTGGAAAACTTGAATGAAGTTTGAGAATTAGGTTTGCCAAATGTCACCGCTGGATTCGCATCGTACAGATACAGATCCAAGTCCACAATCTGCTCAGGAGAAGTGTTTGCAGCAGCGGCAATCAATTCTATGAAGCTTGAATGGTGATCGGCAACGATGTCCCGAGGATCCCTAGCCTCGTCCTTATTCTAAAGTGAATCATCTTACTAGTCATCTAACAGATTAATAAGAAAACATTTTTATGAAATAGCAATGATTATAGAATCCATTCTAAGTGGCAGTATTAATGCATGAAGTCACTTTCACTTCATAAACGGTACTATACAACAAATATTTAAACTGTGGCGATAAATTTATACCAGACTGATAGATGCTAAATTCGTAATGAAAAAGATTACCATGAAAACAAGCGGACTTGAAGATGAAATTCAACGGTTTTTGTAGGCAACCAATTCGGCTTCTTTCTTGCAACAGCTGTTGGGACTAACATATTTTGCGCTCTTGAGAATGCCAGTCCTTTCGGTATAGGACGGGTAGTGTAGTGGTAATGATCCTGTTCTCGAGAAGCGCGATGCTGGTGCGATCGGCCCCGAGGTTACTAAGCCTCCCATCCTTCCAGGGTTGGGAAACTTGCACCAAACTTGTACGGGAACAACTCATTTCTGCAATCCAAGTGTGAACGATCTAGCATGGTTATTCCAAAACTCCAGGGAGAATCGACTCCAACAACACTCAACAACGTTGATAAAGAAAACGATTAATTCTCAAGCAACAACTGAACTTACACGCAAAAAGTTGAAGACCTCTGTGGATGATGGATGGGAGGAAACGAATCGAATACAAGAAGTGTTGGGACGCACACAGATTTAAAAACGGACCGTGCTTTTATACAGAAGAAATAGTAACAGAGTACGACTACTGAGAGAACACCTATCTATATGCCTTGGTAGAATGCACAAGAAACTCCGTCTTTGAAAAGCGAACGGAAAAACTTCTTTCTCAGTACCACATGGACACACGAGATCATTTTTATTTACTCAGATTCACATGGCGTTTTATATCTGCTGCATCCGTTACTCGGCCAAATTACACCAATATATTTGCTTCGCGTTAAAAAAAAACTTGAGGAAAAGGTGGAATTAAATAGAGCAGCTTATAGCCAAAATATTCGTAGAGACTAAACTCACCGTTTTATTACTACTCTTAGTTGTGCTGATCCCGGCAGAAGCAAATGTCTCAAGTATCGGTCGCAATTCAGTTTCTGTATTACACTTGAAGGTATCGCGATCCTTTGTCAAATGAATTGCTAAACTTGGAATGTATAGGATAGGCTGCTCAATGTTAACCAGGCGTCGAGAAAGACTATCGCCCTGAAATATCAAGAGCATAACAAAATACCAAGTGAAATACTACTTCAGTAACATGTATCTGATCTAAGTGGGTGTCAGGAGCCTTTGTTGAAAGCTAAAAGGTTTCAATATGTTACCATATATTGATTTTTAGCCAAGCTTGATAAAGTAGACAATTTACTTACTTGATACTTGAATGGCCCGTCCTCACTGATTGTGCGGGCTCCAGCAAAATCTTCTTTTTTCGGAGATTTGCTGGTTAAGCCATAATGGTTCCCTGGAGTATCGAGGTCAGCCTGGCCAGGCTGCCTCAGGTCTTCACCACCACGGGCAGTCGCAGACCTTATGGATCAGAGGGAGAATTACCACTATGCGACTTTGATACCAGCACGGTGGTGGATCCTGGTATTGGTTTACTCTTAGCTAGGCTTCCTGATGGAAACACCGGACTCCTTCTCAGCTTGGGAAACCTTGCCAGGCGACCAGAGGATGAATCCCTCGCTGTACATCGCAGTCCGACACCCAGGAACAACTCCCAGCCACGATGAAGTGGTAAACCATTAGGAGGAAGTAGACAATTTATCCTTATAAAAGTGTATCGGAAACGAACCGCTCTGATAACAACCTCACCAGCCACTGCTAGATCACGATCAAACCATGTTCGCCAAATGCCTCCACCATAAGTGGATACACCAACCTAAAACACTTTAGGAGAAGCAACGAAAACGAAAGGCATCTAAAAAGAAAGTAAAACCGGTGTGAGAAAAAGTAGAAGCAAAGTGCTTTCAGTTATAATCAGCAGCTTCGCCTCAAAAAAGAATGCAAAGACCTTTGTCTTGAACCTTTTTCATATACTCAAAATGACATTAATACCGCTACTTTAGAGTTTCAAAACACAACGCTTTTCAGGCAGGAATGAGCCAGCGAACATGAACCCGATAGACAAAGAAGACAGCTATTCACATTGACGATGTAGTTTCCAAAGGAATTGTAAATCAGGGTTTACTACCATTAAATTCCTATTCCAATAATGGATTATTAATTTATAGATAGAAACATTGCAGTCAACAATGGAAGAGCATCATGAAGTTTCCCAATTCCAACAAGATCTTAAAAACGCCGTATTTTCAGATATACTGAATGGCTTACTTTATCTTATTACATTTGATCGTAGTACATTTTCGATAATTTCCAAATGTCCTATCCACCGAGTAGAGTTTCAGGAGACAATTCACTTTCTAGTGAGTTTTATATTGTTTTGCACTTAAACGTTACCAAATGGTGAGGCAAAACATAAAACAAGCTTCACTCCAATAGGACTAGCAAACCATAATTTTTCTATGAAACTGCCACTATTCACAAGGAAGTATCCCCACGGAGGTGTTCGGCTGGGTAGATTACGGTGAACTTGACCTTTGCAGATCCTGAGGAGTGAAATTTTTCGCGGAAACGTCAGTTTGTTCTTGAATAAGGAATAAAATAACACCTGGCGTTTGCTCAACAATGTATAAAAAATTATTTGATCAATGCCGAGACTAACAGAAAAATTGTCTTGGGAATAAATATACTTCTGAAAACTACTTGCATTATACATGTCTCCATCGGAATTAAGCTCTAAATCAGTCGATTACAATTTTACTAGCGGTTACTGAAAAAGGCTAATGACAAAGTGGGCGTTCTTTCTTTCACTTTCCACGTGTCTTATATATTTTAAAATGTATTAAAGATGAAAATATGGAAACCATGATTAAAACAATTGCGAAAGAATAGTATACCTGCTCTTACCTGATTGAACTTTTCAGATTGTAGCTTTGAAATCGGTTTTACTCGAAGGCAAGGACTGTCGGTGTGACCAACCACGATTGAAAAACCATTGCCAGGCACATATTCACCACCGATGGCGAAAGCAATGATGGTTGAGCGATTTCTACAATGGAAAACATTCCGATTCCAATAAATTACTTTAAAACGACTAAATATTAAAGCATGAAAATTGAACAACCGTTCGAAGTTGCAACTCTGACAAAGTTCATCGGATGAGAAGCAAAAACTTTGAATTTTTCGTATAATTATCTCAAAAGTGTCGTATTCGATGCTCTAGTTTTCACTAACCACATCGATCGTAACAAAAACTCACTTGGTAACAAAGTATTTGCCACCGGGCCTGATATCCCAGTCGGACGCCTCAAGTATTTCTTCGAATCCTGACTGTTGTAGACGCTCCTTACATTCCTTCACAGCTATAACAATATCACAATAGTAACAAAACGAATCAACGCCCAAACCATTCTATAACCCGACTAACTTTAACTCGAAACGCCTGTTTACATTGATTTGATGTCACTAACCATGGAATGGAGTGACAGCTTTATTCAGAAAACTGACGAACTCTTCGGCTTCGCGACGAATTTCTGGCAACAGCGGACCTGCACGGAATTCGTTTCAGTTGATCTATTCTATGATAACTTTATGATTAATCAATCTACCTAGTAATAATAACAATAACTGCAATAATAACTAAAAGTAATAGTAACAATAATCGGTAATCTATTAATCTGACAAGTTTCTGATATATCTCTCATCTCAAATTTCATCCGTATATCTCAAATTATCTCAAAGCCGAATGATCAATTGTGTTACGAAGAAAATGTCATTAGAATTAAGTAAAACAGTACGTGAGATCTGTTAGTACACAAATACACACTTGACACTTAAACGGCCCATCTCACTGGTTGTGCGGGCTCCAGCATAATCACCACTCATCGGAGATTTGCTGGGTAAATCGTTGTGGTTCACTGGAATCCCGAGGTCAGCTTGCTCAAAGTCTGCCCCAAGTCTTCACCACCACGAACTCTTGTGGATCAGAGGGAGATTTGCCACCATACGACTTTGATACCAGGACGGTGGCGGATCTGTTAATACTGCTAGAAAAATTCTATGATACCGAGTTAGATCTAATCTGAGGAATATCCTTATCGTTTGCAAACCATTTCGTCAGAATATTGAGAAATGCAGAAAACCTACTTAGGGACGGCATTTTCTTCTTGTTCCCAGATGTATGTCACAGTTCCCGTGTTTAGTTGAAGCAATCAGATTTCTGTTGTCACAACTGAAAAAAACAATCTTTTAAACAACAAGGTGCGGCCATCTAATAGTCAACACGTTGTATTCAACCTATGAACCACGAATATTAAAAAAAAAACTCTTCAGTAAACCTCAACGCTATTAAAGAACATATCCAACTTTACAAATTCCGTCTCAAATCAGAAGACATGCGTGCTGATCTCTTCTGGCAGGACTAAAGCATGAGTACAGAAGATTATGGAAATGAAGTGGTAAAAACAATAACCAAAGTTCAAATTTGTCGATCGATATGTGATGTTTGATTTGAGGGAATGCCTCCGAACTTCTTAAGCTCTAGAAAGTAGAAAAGAGGTTGAAGCTGTTCAAGAAAGGCGATTATTAAAGGAATAGCAACTTAGTGAAAGGAACTAGAATCTGTGAATAGTCTGGGACCTACTGAATCCAGCACACTCAGACCAATATTTCTGCACAATTATGCACCGTACAGTCCACAAGTCCTTGTAAATCATTATCGATTTAAATAAGCACTTGAACAACTTTAATTACAACCGAAGGGACCTTCACAGATGCAAAGTACGAGGTGGGCGTAGCAAATAGCGACTAAATTCGGTAACTCATTGTCGATGGCTTGAACTCAAACCTACAGGCCCACAAATCGTCCAAAAACCACCATTAGGGTCAGTGAATCATCTTGGGACGTTGTACAATCCGACATTCACATTCACTGCCACAAAAATAACTTACGACGAAACGATTTGGTTCTCTACAATAGAAGCAAACTCCTGCAGCTTACTCGTTATCCACTGGGAGATAAGACAATACAGAAGCGGCAATTTATAATCGACATGTCGACAAATTTGTCGTCTTATCAGTTAGAGATGGAGAGTGCGATAGTACTAAGAAAGACCGATGTCTGAATGTCACCAAGAGAGATACCTCTATCTCCAGAAACTCACCAACGAGAAGATGCAGTACACCTAGCAACAGCCACCTACATCAGTACTAAGGCTGATTTTAATGTGAGAAAACCGGTCTCGTCGGCAGCAGCTTTAATCTATGGTGCTGGTTTCCCCGGCTTAAAATTGAGAAAAGCATCCGTAACGTTCATCGAGACTTCGCCAACTATAAGTCTAAGATTACTTCCTCTCCGACAAGATAGAAAGACCAACAGAGCTCAATTACAACTTTTCTGATTTTTTTGACAATCATTTCAACCAGCCATATAATATATTTTCATTTAATTTTATTTGATACGGTCCGCCTTCCACATCGACTGTGCGGTTCCCAGCACTTCCTCTATTTGATTCGTTTCCTCGCGTCCAACATCCTTGAACAACTCCCCACTATTTGCGTGTAGGTTCGGCTGCTGCAAGAAGATCTTCCTTTCGTGAAGAAGTCATTAAATGCTGTTTGAGTCTATTCTCCCTGGACTCCAGCGATAACCGGGTTAGTGTGTCCATAAATGGACTGTTTCCAGAGAAGTCTGCTCCCATGTCGCCGACTCCGGGAAGATGACAGGCTTTGGGGACTTGGAGCATGGTCGAGCTAGCAACATGTTCGTGATTGTCCGCTTTATTACCACTGCGCTACTATCCTCTCCCTTCACCACTCATATAACATTATGCCAAGGAAGATGGAAATTTCGTCCAAAGATGCCTGTTTCTCTAAGCCTTACATAGTGTTGCCGCCCGAATACGGAAAAACCTATACTATATTCCTAAGTATCGATCAACCTGCCCGTGTCTCCCCAAAAACTCTTTAGACGAACTATTCACGATATGAATGATAAAACACTGGATGAAGATCAACCATGCAACCAAATTTGATTTAGAAGTGATTTCACCATAATGAACGATATGTATTCGACAACGAAACTCAATGCAGCACTGGGAGAGTACACGATGGTATTCAATCTTGTAGAAAAATCCGGCTTCCCATCAGGTCTCCAGAAAGCCGTGTTCACGAGAAGCAAAGTCGTATGTTGATTTTCTAAGCCAGAACCACATAAGTGGAATATCTTGACATATCCTTCCTACTAAATGTCTAGTACTGACGGTAAAGAAACTAGTGAGTCACGAACACGTAAAAACAATCGAAGGATCGAGTTTGGGAAGGTTGTAAGTGCTAAAATCTATAAGAACTTTAGGACGTTCTCCGAAAAGTGCTCACAATTTCGATGTGCCGCCTCGGTAGCGTAATCCGAAATCAGATGACTTCCTATTGTTAATCCGTGTCTCATGTATGTGCTTCCGCGCTTATTAATGGTAAACGTATATCTCGTGTTGTATATACCTAGCACGTAGCGAATAGTTTGTTGGCAATGTTACCGTATTTTTTGTATAGATAAGTTCCCAGGCATTTGTTCTATCCCGGTAACACGTTATGAAAAGAGAACCACGTTGACCACAGAATTTGGAAAAAATGAAACATCCGACCACACCGGAGCATTCACCATTCCTTTGGTTCGACCTCGTTGAAGAGCGATCATTAGCCTCGTTAGATGTTAGACGACACCAGAGATAATGTAGACTGTGAGGACTGAAAGCTGTGAAAATCTTCGGTAGCATGAGCTATCGCTAGCAAATATTCTTCCGATGATGATTCCAGTACCATTTCTGACAAAACAACTTTTATATTGAACTGATTTCGGGAACCGCTGTACGTTATAAGATGGTCAGCCTCTTAACCGTGCATACTTGTATATAACTCTTCGACTCTCTGGATGTTGTATAAACAACCCTTGCAAAACAATCTAAATGAAAACCTACTGCAAACGGATCCCCTGCATAATTACTGAGAGTGAAATTATATTTTATATTGTAGAATTTTAACATGCATGTATCTCATAACAATAGTATCTGCTTTAGACACTGCACTATGCAACTTCTAAGACTTCTGCTTTCTTCCTTTTTGATATCACTTACTCGCCTAAGCATTTACACCATGGTAGGATTAATGACTGGGAAATTCACTTGATCAAACCAACTGGTAACACTGAAGGTACCATGGTGATACCGTACTCTTTAATAAAACTCCCACTTCATTTGTAACACTTTATTGCCTATATACAATAACTTGTAAAATATCTTTCCTTTCAACGACGCATCACGATCATTTATGTATTAATGTATCATTTTAGACAAATTATGCGAAGCAGATGAACAGGCACTTACCGTTCAGATTTACATTACAGAGGTAAGTGTCCAATCAGATAATGCACGGAAAGACCTATAGAAATGCTGGTGTTGCTTATGCCATAATCATTGTAATCCAGGATTTCTACTAAACCATAAAGCTTAACTATAAAATCTAAACGAATGGGTTTTTAATAACATAAACATCCATGTAAACATCCATTATATACAGCTGCCACCAAGTCTATCGGTCATAAGGATCCAAATTCAATAAATCGAAATGATGAGTTAATAGTCAGGATAATAATGAATAGACAAGCTTAGCCTATTTCGATGGTTGTTCTACTACTCTAAATGATTTCGACAATCCTATCAGGCAGTTGCTGTAGTGACTGAAGTAACCAAGTCGGTAGTTCCCTTCTGGCAAAGGGACAAATTCGCAAACGATGTACTTCTGACCATGAACCACCTGCTCACCGCAAGTTACTATCCACAGCCATCGGAATGGGGAGGTACAGTCATCGATTGTCGCCTGGATATAGAAAACCAACTTAGCAAAAGATATGGAACTCCATTTAAATCTAGGATGATTAAGTAAAGTGTAACTTCAATGATGTTGAGATATTTGCAAAACTCCGGATCGCAGGTGTATGCGATGGGGAACGAACACGTGCTGTTGTCCTTACCGGGGAGCAGCGCACTTCACCACCACACCATCCGGGTCCTTCGTTTTGCCTGTCTCTCAGCTAGTTCTATCTAGTAAGTAAAGTGTGTTTACCAAAGTGTTCTCACTTACCGGATAAACGCCGATCCAGTCTAGGTAACTACCACAAGATGTCCAATAATTGTTAAGAAGTTGGAACCGTCCAATTAGTGGGACAGTCGTATACCATGTAGGTAGATGTTCGAATAGACAATCCCAGGTGAGGTTCGACAAATGGGAAATCTGGAATGGTGCTAAATCAAAGTACGAACAAATTTCATACAAATCTTCATAAAAAATAAAGATAGTTAGCAGGATACATAATAGACTAAACACGACCGTAAAGAATGCAGATAACTTGTAACAGATTTACTACTGCCTACAACCAGTTCCATGTAGAGCAGATGAGATCTTAAAACATTAATGACACACTGACATTAGTAACGTAATTTTCATTTTTGAACATTATTTTCAAAATAATGGACGGCAAATGGCAAAGCATTCGGAATCGATCATGCTCTTAGAAATCCGCGATGAATTCGATTGCACTCGTAGATAACTGCGTGTGTACTTGAGCTACACAATAAATGCGCAGAGACCTGACGATGTAACAAGTCAGTGTTTTTATAGCACCACACAAATCTGTTACGAATATGCCGATCCGGAGAGATAGGAGGCTTGGTAGCCCCGTCGTGTGTTCGTCTGAACCAACGACCACACGTGTATTGCAAGATTTCTCTAGCCACCACTGCGTTAAATGCATCCCTTTGAAGTAATACGAATAGATAGATACAAATGCAGTCCAAGCTGCAGCAACGAGAATTCATAAAGACCATTATTTTTCTTTTACTATATTACTACATGAATAGTCATCATATCTACTGGGCAGAACTTCTCCAATTCCATTTGTTTTCCTCGCATTTATCGTCCACAAAAGTCCCCGATCACTACGATTGTTGCTTCGCCTGCTGATCGAGAATTTCGTTTTCTTTAAGAATGACACAGATTGTTAATCGAGTCGATTCTCCTTGCAATCTTGAATATAGCCAAACTAATGCGTTTCTACGTTGACTGGGGAAGAGCGTTGGGGAGGCAGTGGAACCAGTAGTTGCTTCACAATCAAGGTGGAGAAATGCAAACTAATCACTCTCTTTCTCCGACAAGGAAAAACTTAACTCTACAACTTTGGTTCGAAAAACTCAATTATTTAAATGTTTACATGTTTAAGCAAGCATTTGATTTACCACGTGGGAAAGTCGGCTTGTATAACTCTAAGAGTTGACGCAACACATCATAGTCTTCTTTACACATGCATTACATCGACAAGTGGAAATTCACGGAAAGACGATTGACCACGATAAAACCGTAATCTATTTAATATAAATCGACCCGACCTTCACATCGAAAACAGCCTGTACAGGAAAATGATCGCTCACAAGTACTTCCTGGTTAGAGATATAGCTAACCGGCGAAATAATGTCACCCTAAAAGTAGTAATCCATAAAACGAGCATAAGAAATGGTGTAAAACCTCACCTTGTACAAGACGCGATCACACCACGACGGCGTACGTCTCAAATCGTACTCAGTTGTACCGACGTAAAGTCTAGAAGCACTCTTGGATCACAGAATACAGTAAGAAATAACTTTTCTAAATTCGCAACGATGTTCTGCGTTAAAAAGCTCGTTCTTATATCCTGTAATCTTACCGGTAACAGCCATTATATGAAAAAGCATCATCATCACCTAAACTTGGGTATTTTAACACAGACGCGACTATACGATCATGCATTGGTTTTAATACGTGCGGCTATGGAAACAACTGCGCCTCCCAACTTTGACCAAACATATCTTATCTCACAGTGAACTTTATTAACTCTACTACACCATTAGAGTTCACAGATCTTTGCCAAGTAAATATATTTCCCTTTCTTCTACAGTATAAAGTGTTGACTTCGGAGTACATAAAACGTATTTTTCGTCATTGATAGTTATTTTGCTCTAAAACCGTTGTGTTTTCCAATTTCTAACAAGTTTAAATCCAAAGGCCAGTTTGTACTAATTATTTACGCTTTTAAAGTGATAATTCAAGGACCTTTCTAAAACGCTATCAAGTTCTCATATCCTCAGATGTTTCACTGTGGAAAAAACCGTCGGCAGTTGTTGAAAAATCAGATTCTTCATGAACACGTTAGTTAGATTTCCTTCTCTCCAGTTCACTGATAGAACATTTTCATTTTCATTAATCAAATTTATTTCGACAACATTTCAACTACTGGTGACTTCTTTAACGATAACTTGAGCACAACTTGTTCATACTAAAAGCGGGTACTTTTTATAGAAAACTGGTGCACGTCGTTGAAGGAAAATGCTTGCTGTGGACAGAATTTTTCAAATCTCAGAAAAGTTGAGGAACAGAACGCGCAAGGTATAGGCTATATGCAAGATGTGGAACGTTCAATAGTGTTCCCAGTTTTCAACGAGCCAATGAAAACAACTTGGTCGTGCAGGGAAAATATCTATTCCCTCGGACGCCCCTCTATTATAGCAACAATCCGAGAAGCTAAAATACGTGGAAGTCCCAATAGACTCGTTATAAAAGTTCCGAGCGTGGCCTGCCACAAATACCTCTCCAGCTTCACAGAAATATCACCTTGGGCATTATCTACTCCTGGTTAAACTGACAGTTAGTTTCCATTTGGTAGTCAAAAGTTTCAGCGCATACAATGCTACAAAACAACCAACTGTCACCTTTGTCATCAAGTTCTGCATCAATTCGCGCAACAACAGCGACTGGCAGATCGATACCAGGAAAACTCACTTCGCGTTTATCAATTGTTTGAATTATATCACCACACAACTCCGCAGCAGTTGAGCATGTGCATGTGTCACCCGATCTCTCAGTAGTGAGACCCGAATGACCCATTTCATTAGTACATATACCCACCAACTGCTCTCGAATTTCGTTATTCCGGCAACAACGTATATTCTGCTGAATTTAGCTGAAATAACTAAATTAAGCACCTGTAAGTCGGTGGAAAAGAGAGCGCTTGTTCTTCAAATCCAACAAACGCCTCTCCCTTCTGTACAGCTCGTTTCAGTTGTTCGTCGGTATCTTCAATGACAATGAATGAAAGATATAACAAAGCATGCAATGTTTGCTCTCTTACGATAGAAACAGGGGATAAAAATCGTGGCGAAGATAAACTCGAATTTACCAACTCAATAAGCCAAGTACAGCGTTAGATTTGATTAGCTCCATCACCTCCTCTGCTTCTTTTTCCACGCGAAAGTTCAGGTCACCCAACCAGAAGACTGCCCTATAAAGATTCTCATCAGGTGGAAAATGAGGGCTTCGTAACCCATGTTCAATATTTTTACCCAGGATGATGGAATTCCTGATTCGAATAGTCACGTTATATTTAACACATACTTCACTTCAGGATCTTCAGGAAAACAGCAAACTTTGTTTGAATGAAATTGCGCAATCCTCCTATCATAGGCAAACACGTCATGAACGAAATGACTGTCAACAAACACAATTGCCGTTCGATTCTGAAATGATATGTTGAACAAATAAACAAGTTGAATCGTTCAAAATATACCAATTCTTCATCGAAGATACCACGTCATGTTAACTACAGCTTCTTCCTCAAAAACAACTCTGATCTTTACTGTCACTGTAAGACTTAGATTCAGCTACTTCGAACTGAACACAAGTACAGCGAACAAAAAGGAGACTGTCGCATGTCGCAATAAGAAATCAATGGACAACTTATCACAAGACCTAACTACCCCTCACAGAACGAAGGTTAGGACTGGAACCACACAGGATGTTGACATGGCCACAGTATGTTAAAAACCGTTAGAATACTACCTTCGAACTCAATAGTACACTGTAGTTCAAAAGTAGGCTGACTATAGTACATAAAAAATATACAGCTCTCGACGTTGATCAATCCATGAGAGATGCGATATGCATTGGACTTCATTAATCAATCATCCTTGGAGGTGATTGAATGCATATCTGGCTTTTAGAATGACTCGCGGTGGCGCACCGATGTACCAACCCAGTGCTGTTATCCTCCCTGACAATTTTGGTACCAACTTTACGACATCGGAGGGATGGAAGGATTGGTGAGCCTGCGGTGGATGAACCGATCCTATGTGTATTGCACTGCCCCACCTACCACTGCGCTAGACGCGCCGCTCTGACTATACTAGTTTACGGGAATAAGTGCGGCTTCTGTGAGCAACACCGCCGACTACTACAACTGCGGCAAGCCGACAGTTCACTCGCAATCACACACAACGATTTCAATGTTATATTTCTGAATGTTTTACTTGTTGCAGAGAGATTTATATAACGTTTTCACATCTTGGTACTTACAAAAACTACCGAGACAGATTTATTCACCTTCATGAAGACCGGATCGAACACTTGCATTTGCTACAGATTTACTAAGATTTTTCTTTCATTTAGGCATTTCGGATTCTATGCGTGAACACCGTGGCATGTAGCGCGAAATGAAACTACATGAGCCTCGAGGACTTCTACGTCATGTTTGAAAAACATCAGAAACTTTCTAATGCCTTCCATAATTTATATCTAAATAGCTATTATTTCCACAGATCTCCCTCATATAAAGGATCTCGAGCCGGTTAGTCGCAAGGACACGTGGCGCGTCCCCAGGTGGCGGATAGGGGGGTTAATCGCGGACCAAAAGCGACCTTTCCTTCCTGAGACGCACATGGATCCAGGGGACGAACTCCCTGTTTCTGCTTCGCCGATTTGGCACATACCTTCTGTATTTACGAGGACATATTTATGCATGCGTGCTTGGGTGTGTTCTCGTTTACGTGGATTGTATTCTAGGAGTCAATTCGGCCAAATCCTGCAATCAAATGACAAGGAATTATATAGGAGGCGGTCAGGAGTCTCCTCCAGCAAATAAGCTCCATGTCCACTCTAGGATAGCCTGACAAGTTACCTGTGAAAACACCCAGCCTCGCGTTCAGAGCACAGAAAGTTATGCGCGGGTATCAAAAAGCTAAAAACAATAAAAGAAACAGGGCTCATTCTTCCGACCACGAAAGAACCCCCAATTCGGCAGCGTTGGGTAGGACGAGTACAGAGAGGCTGCTAAAATCTCAAGGGCAATGGAAGCTACATAGATTAGAAAGAAATATGGTGACGAACCGTACCTACAATGCACGCACACTTGCAACCGAGTCCTCGATAGAGGACTTACTCATGCAAGCAAGAACGTTAAGGTACGACGTCATCGGCCTCGTCGAGACGAAACGACATCACCCATTCAACGCCGCCTATGACACCGGAGAAGAACTGTCCCTCGGAACATGTGACAGAGTCGGCGGCGTCGGCGCTCTCGTAAACACGAGTTTGTCCATGAACATCGATTCATTCGAACAACTTATAACCCGAAGTTGACGTTTACGATTAAAAAGATGTGGATCAATTCCGGCTTTAACAATCTTCGTCGTTTACGCGCCGACATCAAACTATGACGAAGAAGTCGAAGCGTTCTATATGGACTTGGAGAGGTTCTACAGAGAAGACCATACATTCTTCAAGGGCATCATTGGAAATTTCAACGCCAAGACTGGACCAAGACGAACTTCTTCTGAAGAACGTCACATTGGGACTCATGGATTAGAATGGAACGGACAGGGTGAGCGGCTATCTGAGTTTATCATGGCGACGAAGACATGGTACCTCGCAGTTCCAGAAGCCCCACCCTCAGCGCTGGACGTAGGAGTCTCCCAATGGAGAGTACCATAACGAAATAGACCACATCATAGCAAACAGAATATTTTGCCTAACCGATGCAGCTGTTGTCCCAAAATTCTACACGGGATCAGACCATTGTCTCCTTCGTGCAAGATCCTATTACTCGCGGAAAGCAAATAAAGCCGCTGAATGCAAAAACCAAAATCCCAGAACCACCATAAACTAGGACTTGTTCAATTCATTATTCGGCCGTTTGGAAAATGCCGTTGTCGATAACATCGACAAAGAATACTATCGGCTCATTCAAGATCTTCACGTTAGCACTACGAAAGCTGAGAGTTCGAAAGTCACCAACAGACAACTGTCTCCGGAAACACTCGAGCTATGAGCTATAACGCCAGCGCTGAATCGCACGTGCTGCAGGCAACCGCGAACTAGCGTCCGAACTTGCAAAACAATGCAGACACGCGATAAAAGAAGATCTTAAAGAGAGAAGAGCAGCAGTAATAGTCGAAGCTGCAGGGGCCGGGAAAAGCATTCGCAAAGCCAACCGAAGCTTCGACAATTATAAGACCAAGATGATTGCACTCCGACGCCTTGACGGAACAGTTACAGCTTGGAATGGGATAATATGGTAGTGAAAATCGATGGTTGGCAGTTACACCATCTTCGCTTTGCTGATGACATCGTCCTTACAACACCAAGCATTAGCCGACGTATGCTTGAGTACTTTGATAAAGCCTGTGGAAAGATTGGTCTTCGACTAAACCTCACAAAAACGATGTTTATGAAGAACAGATTCGTTTCGTATGCCTCATTCACGCTCAACGGAACGAATATCTCCGAATGCATCAGGTATGTCTATTTAGTCGGTAAATCAATATGATGAACGACTGAGCTCCAGAGCTGAGTAGAAGGAAACGAGCGGCTTGGTGAGCTTTCAGAGCATCGAGGATGCAGTGACGAGGACAAAGAACACCCGACTCCGTGCCCACCTTTTCGACTCAACGGTACTTCCTGCCCTAACGCATGCGTCTGAAACTGGTCGCTGCGTAGGCACGATGAAAGATCACTCAGCGTTATTAAACGCGCAGTCGAAAGGACGATGCTAGGAGAATCCCGTTTCAGACAAGTAAGGGATGGGATCCGAAGCTATGACCTGCGTCAACGATCAAAACACAGATAATGTTCTCTACGCCAAACAGTCGAAGGTAACGTGGGCCGGACACGTAATGCGTTTGAATCACAACCGATGGATAAGTGCCGTTAGTGACTGGATTCCTCGTGATATCAAACGTACCGCAGAAAGACCACCGACCCGATGGTCAGAGTTCTTCACAAAAAGCCTAGAAGAAAGATATGATGCTCGACGAGTCCCTAGAGCGAGCAGAACCCACTGGACTACTCCTGCACGCGACAGGGAAAAATGGAAAATTTACTAGCGCCCGCTCGAGTCACTCGACGATCAACGGGACTACAGGTAATACAGATGATAGCTATTATGTCTCTCCTGGTATATCTCTCACGATTTTGTATTCTACCTTTTCTTTCCTTATAATGATGCTCCATGGTTATCATTTCTAATCAGTTTTTCTAATCAGAAGCATGAAGTACTAGTAGTAAACTTTTTACGTCTGAACAATGCAGTGGAAAACGAAATCAACAATGACTTCGATCGTTTGTCTTCTAATCGAGTATGAAATAGAAACTGATAACGATTACGACGATGTGACACCTGCTGTGCTCATGTCGCTTGTTCCAGTGAAGAAGAATCTAAACATGCTACGCATTCTAAGGATGAAGGGTGCGGATAGAACAGTGGTAGCAGTGCCAGTAATCACGAACACCATCCTGGTTCGATCCCAATCCAGGTTCACCACGCCTCTCATCCGTAGTCGGAAAACCGACGCTGAACTTGTCTGGAGAAAAATCACTCTCATCAATCCAACTGGGAACGCTCCATCTCAGCTATCCGAGGGCTACAGGTAGAATCGAGTCGACCAGCTTTATACGACATTCAAGATAAAATGAAAAACCTGAAGGAGGAGCCGAATAGAACGTGAAGTTAGAAAATCCCAGTAGACGATGGATTTGAGGAAACGAATCGAATGTGAGAAGTGCTGGGATCCACACAAATAGATATGAAGATGGGTCGTCTAAAATGAAACAGAAAACTAAGAAATTCCAAGGACGTGGAGGGAACTGAAGGTAGCGATGAGTACTTAACCAATACAATGTCTCACTATTTTTGAACCTTCACTGGTAGTAAATTGGGAGTTGGTCAAAACTTCGTCATGAAAGGACAGAATAAACAAACTGCCTTAATCAAATACTTTGGATTTGTACCTTCATCACAGGCACCAGCTTTCGTGGGTTGACGAAAAAATTCGCAGAATACGATTTTTCTCGGAACACACTTGACACAATATCTACGGTGGGGAAGAAGCTATTGATTGGACACAAAAAAACAACAAGGAAAAATAAATGTGCAGCAAAAGAAACCACTAAACGACACTCAGTAAGCGAATATTGAGCTTCAGTGCTAGTCAAGATGATAACTTTAGTTTGGATTGGTTTCATTTACAATGATAGAAATCGTATGACTCCATATAGAATAATATAAGAATGTAAGTTAATGAAGGTAGGTCGAAAGAACGAGGAAATTACGACGTCAACTTGAGGACTAAATTTCAACATTTGATTAGATGTATACCACATCAACTTACTTGGAATGAAATTTTGATACCAATAGATCCTTTGTGTCCAGTGAGCCCACCCATGGTGCTTCGACTAAAACGAAATTGAACTCCTCGTATCTAAAGCAGCTGATCTCTACAAAATGTCTTTTTTAGAATCCTTTCACTAATTAATATTGAAAGTACTGATCCAGGTTCATTTTGTTTATACTTGTACCTAAAGCATGTTCGTCTAGATGTGGTTCCTCATACGAAATACCAAGTCACAAATTGTACGGAAAACAAACGCAAATTCTCGGCACTAACAATTGTACACTACCTTGCCATACTTTGTGTGCTCTACGGATCTACGACATTTTCGACGCCTCGGGAAAAAAATTTACTTCACAAATATGCTACTGCCCGACTTAATTTTATCTAGTTACGAAGAGATATTAGGTCGTTCAGAAATAAATGAGCATCTAAAAATACTTGTTGTTTCAATGCATTTTTTACCAATAAAATATTCATTGTACTCTGCAATACAATACTGTATATCATTGGAAAGCTGGTTTTATACCATTTCTAACCATCTCTTTATATTTTGTCAAAAGTTAAATTTTTTCCACCAGTTTTCAGCTCTGCAACTTTAGATGTCAAAAGTGAATTGTCGCCAAATTTTCTTTTACGAGTTCAAACTTGGTCGTGGTATAGCAGAGACGGGTCGAAACATTAATGGATTTCCAAGATAAAGTAGACCACGGACGTCCCAATGGACTTGACGATATGACTTGCATAAACCTAAGGTGGGTAACGTGGTCTTCACTGTGTTGAGATGATTTGGAGTTTTGAGGTGTATTATACACAATACCAGTCGTAGTTCAATTCCTAGCGAAAAACTTTGGAATTAATTTTAAGAATGAAATTTTGGACCTGATCTCCAAAATGACGATAACTTGGAAAGCTATTTAGACCAATAAATAGAGAACACCTAAGGTCTTTCGAAAGATAGTGACACATTAATGAATCCTTAGTGTAAAGAAATATGTCATCAAATCAATGAAACATACCGACGGAAGTAATGCACGTTTCACAAATACGGTCACTTGATTCGTCATTTGATGTGTTTTTGTGAGCAGCACTAAACCTCCGTTCTTTGTTTTCACCCATTCGAACATTTGTCGCTGCCAGGTGACTGTCGTACCGCCAACAACCGTCTCTCCATGAGCAACCTCCTGTGATTTCATTCAATTTTCATGACATAATTTATAACAGAGAAAAACATAGAATCATTACATGCCAACCATGTTCTGAGGTATAGTGAATGGAAGGGAGTCGTAAGTGGAAATGAATTGTGATTACCAAAAAGTACTTCAATTGGGCTAAGAATAACGCAATGCACCTTTTGACCGAATGTCTTTTAGAAATGACCTTTCATATTGTTTGTCACGAATTTTACGAAAATGTTCTGTAAACCGTTCACCACTCCACAATGAAACCATATGAGTATGGAAAAAACAACCAAAATGAAGAAGAAAGATAAGCAGAAGAAGAGAAATTTGTTGACGAAATAAGGGGTGGCCTAGGAAAGACAGAAGGAAACATCAAGTAGAGATTACGTAAGAGGAGCAATTTCCAACGAACATCTGAGAAAATGCGGTGCAGGTTAATCAAAAAAAAGTATAAAAAACGTATCGTTCTACTGAACTAAAGGCTGAAAACCAACAAAAGGATAACTTTATAGGAACGTTCAAATGGCATACCGAAGAGAGATATCCGGCAGCGGAAAATATGATGGGAAAAAAATTTCACCCTTAACTAGAGCCTGAGGTAAGAAATCTATCGCTAAGATAAGTGAAGGAGGTGGAACTGAATACAACCAGAAACAACGTCCCAGGTTCAATGGACGGTTTTTCGGTTTGCTTACTAAAACCTAATACAAACTAATCTTCAAAAGAATTCAGTAAACATACTATCATTATTGCTCAGCCGCCTGACCTGCATTCCAATAACTAAGACGCTCGGATTCACCGCTAAGGCCGGTGAAAGGAGTTTCTTAATGTCATCCTCATCAGCACGTTGCATATTCACATTATAGGTGATGGTCACAACTCGGAAATCCATCTCTACGTCATAAACGAACCGAGCTGCTCAATACTTCTCACCCAGTTTAACCTAAATATCTTATTTCGGATGTTTACGAATGAAACTCTCAAAGTCCATAATCACTATCGCGCGAAAAGATACAGCTCAAACCTCAGTGAAGTGGAAAAACGTGGTATGCAAGAGGTACGAGAGCTGATAAGGCTCAAAAACATAAGACAATCCGTTAGTGATAAGAGTGGAGAGTTTGTCGTAAGTTCCCATCAGCTAGATGTTGAGATAAAGAAAAGTATCTTGAAAATGCTTCACTTTATCGCCCATCATCTGAGGAGTTTAAAAGTAAACAACGAAAATTGACCCACGAATGGGCCAAAATGGCAAAGGCTGCTGATTTAAAACGATCAGTTATCTCTCAACTAAAAGTTGACTTACCAACATATCCCGTCTTGTACTTGCTCATAAGAACTCATAAGTTAGTAGCCAGCGATGATCTTTAGTCTACCGATCCATCATTGTTTAAGGTTAGACCTATTATTAGCTGTATAGACGGGCTAACGGATAGGATAACATGGTTTTTAACCCTAATATTTAACCAGCTGTTGAAACACATTCCAGCCCATCTTACGAATACCCAGATGTTTCTGGATCGTCTACGTACTGCGCAGCCCAACAGCGCGTGCGTGATAGAAACCTTCGACGTTACCGCCCTTTATACAAACGTGTCGAATGACTTCGCAATGCAAGCCATATTCGAACTGCTTACACAACACGAAGGAGAAATAAACATGTATAGCTTCAAGATGCAGCAGTTGATAGCACTCTTAAAAGAATGCTTGAGCTGCTCAATCTTCAGATGGTCCGGAAAGCACTACGCTCAAATAAGATCATTCGTGATATTGGCCAGTGTATAAGCCTATTATTCTGATGGGAGGGGCACATTACACTTCCATGTGAACTCTGTGCAGTTGGTCTCCACGCGATATAGTCAGTGGAAGCCTCGTAGAAAGCCGTGAATGCGCAAAACTGTGTCCAGTGTGGTTGAAATCTTGGTTTAGCGTTTTCTTTGTTTGGTTATGCAGTTGTTTGGCCGAATAGATTGCTGTCAACTTGACCTTTCCAGGCTCTGAGAAAGGCGAAATCCGCCGAAAGGTCAGCTTATTCGTGAATAAAGAATAAAAATAACACCTCGCGTTTGCTCAACAAGAATACGAAGAATTACTAAATATCTTAAATTTAACTAAATAGACAGAAGAACAACAATAAACCAAATAGAATTTTGATACCACAAATTCCAAATAGCCGTCTTGTGCGGCTATTCCCGATAAAATCAGTTTGAGCTACAAAATTATCACATGGTTACCAAAGAGTTAATTTCTATCATGTCATGTTGTACTTCTGCATGTACACCTTTACAACACAGATGCGCCAACTCTTTCAATGCTTTGAATAGGCAATAGGATTCTGCCAGAAAATTCCAAAAACCCATTATTTTCTTCATCTTTTTCATTTTCCTAGTTCAAATAGACACTATACACTCACAATATGAGATACTGAAATGACACCTAGTAAAGGTGTTCCGGCCACCGCTCTTTTTCGACAAGCTAAAATGAGCTTCAATCCATATCACCTTTGGTTCACCACGCTTCTTCTGTTTTGAAACTTACCAATCGGTTGCCGACGAGCAATTCCAAATCACTCGACACAGATATGGTCTCTCGAATAAACGACAAGATATAACATATTTCCAACTTCGACTATGGGAACACAGGCCACTTAAACTAAGTTCGTTGTAGATGACCAATAACGTTGGGATTTGGATGTCGAATAGCGCAGTGGTAGTGATGTAGATTATCACAAGTACAGTCCTTGCTTAACGTCGCCTTAGACTCATGAAATCTCTCATCATTCCAAGGTTGAAAAATCCTAGCAGAACCCAGACCAAAAAGTTGGAAGACCTTTGTGGATTACTGATGTGTGGAAAGAAATCGAATGCTAGAAGGCTGGGATCCCACAGTGGATGTCAAAAGACAGGTTGTGTAAAATAGCTGAACAAAACCAAAACGAAGTCGCCGATTTACCAGCTGGTGAACAAGCATAGAGTGTTCCATTTATGTATTGAACATGAATTTTACTCATTCTAGAATTTCAAGCTCATATAGTGGCCCCCATAACGTACATACATGGAGAATTGTTTGGAAAGCGCTTAAAGATTCGTGCATTTATCGTTGAACTTCTAAAACACAACAAGGCTTGCCGCACACTTATCTCTTACACAAGAAATGGTAACTCTAATTTAACAGCTCTCAAGTTGCAGCGAGCAAGCACAGAATCCGCTTACCGATGTGAAGCCGAACTGCCATGGATAGCCCATACTCGAAGTCAAAGAGCCAGTACCTTAAATTAACATCATGGTCAATGTGCGACCAACTGTACAAATAGAAGGATGTTCTGCAGTCATAACACATCTAACAAGATTATATAGCACCATGTCAGGGCACGCCCACACAATGCAAAGCTTGGGATGTGGTGATCCATTTAGGATGACAACTTCTACTTTACTCAGTAAAATTCGACCCGGCTCGTTGTGTCTACCACTTCATAAACCCATTATACCACCACCATGCTGGCAATAGATGTATTTAAAAACAGGAAACCGAAAACAAACTTGATCAATTCGTCAGGTCGAAACACGCACCTGACAAGGCACATTGATAACACCGAACCACAGCACCGCTCGTTTGTCGAGACTGTCCAAGCTCATAGATACCTTGACGGTTGAAACTGACCAAATTTGAAACCAACCTACATTTTTTCTGAATAAACAATCCCCTTATTGGCCTAGTCCATCATCGCGTATAGGTGAATGTCACAATATAATGCAGAATGGGTTCGTTTGTTCCAACTGGAACTCATAAGCTATAATGGAAGGATCCCGTCTTCTTCGTAAGCCTGGCTAACAGAAAATCCATGTTACTGCAAAGCTGACCAAGCCACCTTTTCCCTTATGCACACGGAGGAGAAAAAGTAGCGGTGTCCAAACCAGAGGTCGACGACGCTCTTCGCGTCATTGCGGCGAGCTAAATTCCTCACCGACTTGGTAGCGCAACCAACTGCACGATGATAGGAAACCATAGCCCACAGGGGCAAACTGGTGACTACGAACTACTTCTATTCATACATTAACGACAAAAGCTATGCCGCTCATTTTTAATCAAACACGTATAAATCAGTAAGGATCACCAGGATCACCAAGAATAAATAGAATCAAGCTTTCCCTATAGTATAGAAGTCTCCTCACCCTATTATAACGAAATGTTCTGATCCTCATAAGAATGCAAAACGTGTTTTCCCCCTTCTTTTCGGTGTCTGGCTCACATTCCGAACAGGTAAACGCTGGCACACACAATTTCGTCCTGAAGGATGTGGTAGCATTCCGGAATATGTTTCTAACGTTGTCGACTATCTTAGATTAGTAAAACCTTCAAAAATCTAGACCTCGCTCTCTAATTCCTTTGAAAATCCAGAATCCAAATCTAAACAACGCCCCTTTCGAAATGTTGACGAGTTCTCAATTTCTTAAACAGTTTAGTAAGCGAAGAACACCCGTTCGCCTTCACAGATTAGGCACCGTTCTACGCAGCACGCAACAAAAATTGGACGTTAGAATAGTAGTTAGTGAGATAACGCCATTTCGTGTCATCTTGTGCTCATGTTCATATTTAATAGAACCGTATTTTCAACCTAACAACTTCAGCGAAGGTGAACTAATCCTATACCCAAGAACTCAGATCTACTTCTACACTTCTCAAACACAAGCGGCCACATTTGTTCCGATAAAAACTTTTAAGAAAACGGCAGCACGCTCGCATATATAAAAAACCTTTAATTTCCTTCGGAAGATTTCTCGTAAAGAACACATCTGACCACATATTCAAAGTGATATGCGACATCATCAAACACATACTTGTTCATTCGAAATTTTTTCATTGAAAAATAAGCAATGAAGCAAAACAGTATGACCTAATGTAACGCTATTTACAATACAACGAGTGGAAGAGAAATATGAACAATGATTTTCCCAGTTCCAATACGATAAATATAGAACAAATAATAAGGCGAGTATACCAAAATACGTGAAAAACGGCTAAAACCGACAACTCTGAAAGCAAATAAGTTTCAGAACAAGTAAAACGACAACTAGCATTGTTATTTCACACAAATCTAACTGGAAAAAAAAACAGAAAAAGTAGGACTAACTTGTTTTCCTTAGAAGGTAACAGGTGTGCGGAGCTCGAATTTACGTGAGATATCTTATTTCATATCGGCCGCGAAGAATTAAACATTACAGTGTAGCGCTTTTAGGGAACCTCAAGTTCCATGAATGGATCAACATATCTGTTTTCATTCCTCCCTTGACCCAAATTTCAAATATGCGCGAATTTTTCAAATACTACATCTCTAACAGAACTAAGTACTACCTTACGATCCGAAATAGCCTTTGCATTATTTTCCTTTACAAGGCTAGTTTAGCATAAAATGTAACAGAGTGGTTCCCATAAACATATTCAACATGGAATCAAATGCACAGGAAACCCAATACGAGATAAAAATAGCAGAATCAAAATACGTGGTAGAGAACGGAGAACTCTCAGCCTTAAGACTGCTAACGATTGACAAATCGTATTCATGGGAAGGGTTGAATGTTGGTTTCGTCGGTTGCAGCAGAATTTCGTAAAATCCACTCGTAGGCGCTTGAATATATAAAGAACCTGTATACGAAGAAAATGCAAGTGAGCTCAAACTCGAATACGATTAGTTGGGAGAGGATGGTAAATATATAGCCGAACAATTCAGAGAAAAATTCGCTACAATGTAGTGAATAAGTAAATAATTAGAAGCAGGTTTTGACTATGAATAAGATAAATCTATCACACGTGCACGTGACAAGTTCTCACTGATAGGATTTCTTAAAATTCAAGTTCATTTGATAGTAGCAAACATAAAAAACAGTACTACAGCGTGTTGTTAGACGGTTTTCGATCTGTACTCACTCTCTGTTAATGTCGCTATATGAACGCGAATTGGTTATTATTGCTTCGTGCTTACACAGCGTCGCACCCTCTTACGTGCTGGACCTTTCGTGCTTGAACTGTTCATGCTATCCTCGTCTACGTCTCCCGAAGCCGAAAGAACTGCTTCTAGCAATTCATTCGCCAATTCATAACGATCCTGGTTACACAGTAAAATTAAAATTCATCACACTTGCCCATCATCTGCACGGCAAACAATTTGTGCATTATTACGAAATTTCACTATAACTCCCACGACCGACTTTCTATTAACCTCAGCATCGATCAAATAGTCCTTGATATCCTTGTTAGGCAAACACGTGGTGCTACTTTATTCTTTATTTCGTTAAAGGTGACGTTTTGGCAGTATCGCCTTCTTCACCTTCGATACCTTTCCGCACTGTGAAGAAGGTGATACTGCCGAAACGTCAGCTTTAACGAAATAAAGAATAACGTGACACCTCGTGTTTGTTCAACAAGAATATTGAGAATTATTCATCTATAATATTACAAATCCCAAACCAGAAATTTGGTTATAGGTCAGCCCAGGTAGCGAAGAAAAGGTGAGACCATTTGAGTAAACACTTGAAAAGTACCTTCTTCATTGCTCTCCATTCTGGTGTGCGGATTATATTTTTATGGTGAACCGTAAGATATCGAATAACGGCCTATAATTATTCAGATACAAAAAAGCATTATAGATAAGATAGATATTAAAGAAACCACCTGTTTTAACAAAGTGGCAGTATAAGTATCAGCAAAAACTGCAATAGAGGTAATGTTCTTCTGATTAATCGTGTTTGAAATGAGGCGCTCACATTGCTCTTTTAGCGGTAACACCTCATATTTGTCGGCTGTAAACAGGCATAAAGTGGTTGAAATTTGTTTGAATTCGTTATACATTATACCATCAACACTCACCAATCGCCAGGACTTCATCAACGGAATTCGAATCCACAGTATCCATAGACCCTGTATACATGAATTCCACCATCGCTCGCACCTTTGAAAATCGATATTTACAAGGAAAAAAGTTGATAAAAGACATGTAAAAGAAGTCTATATCAATGTCCGTAAAGTATACCGATTCATATTTTGCGTCTAATATGTCGATGATTCCTTCTCTAGCTTCCACCATAGATTCATTGTTGAACATTGATCGAAAAACTGGAGAATGTTGTCCGAGTACGCATCGATGCGCTTTTATTTCTTTACTACCAACCTAACACAAATCAGTTAAGGCACAACTGCATATGCTTAAACACAATGCATTCTTTATTTACTGGATATTAAAATGTAAATTGAAATACAGATAAGAATGACTTCAAAGAAATTCAAGGGAACAAAACGAAATTCGTAGCATTCGAATGCTGCATTTTTGACATTTGATATGTAACTTTGTTTATAACCGCATTGATCTGTCACAAACACCTCACATTACTCTCACCTTGATAAGACAATCGGTGAAAAGTTCCGATTCCCACATTTCACGATTACTCTCACGTATGCTTAGCTCTACTTTCTCATCTACGTCCTCCAAAGTACACTCTTCGTCATCAGCTGGTTCCACAGAAATCTTCGATCCAGGTGTAAAATATTCAACCTAAAATATCTGCTCAATCTTCTCACAAAAGAATAGTCAGAAACAGGATAAACCTCGCATATTAATAACAAAGATCCGTCAGCACGCAGCGCACCAGCCATTTTATCGCGTGAAACCTAAACACTTAGAAAATTGCTCCTAAGATTACTAGATTATGCAAAACAGGAACAAACCTGAAATTTTCCTCGACCTTGTTGGTTCGTGAAATCTTTAGTATCCCGACACACACTAACTCGTTGGGAGCTCACATCCAACGCATATATTTGGAATTCCGTCATAATAGGCTCCTCACCACGCTGTAAAAAAGTGACCGAGTTAAAGGAACGAACGAGAAATATACACAGAAGCTACATAAACCATGCATTGAACAACTCCTACAGTTAAATTTTTGCCAAAAGCAAAATTCCAGCGACTTCTGGTATTTGTTCAAAGCAGTAATTGTTACAGTATTTGAGGATTTCTTTCCATCTTGAGAAAGAATACTGCTAACCGATTTAGAGCGAAACCATCTTCCTCCATAATCACAAAAGGTTAGCAGTACTGGCCATTTCAAAGATAGTGGTGAAAAAGCCCGGTCCAAATAGCAACATTCCCTCTATACTGGAGATCTGCTCTGCCATGGAAGAACAATTACCGCAAAGCACCAAACCTCTTTTCTACCTAATAAGGACCGGTAGCATATTATCTACTACGGCCAACTGGAAGCGCAGTAATGTGGCCATATGGAAACTCCAAGGAAAAAAGGGAAAATCCTGTCAAAGCAAACACTGGACAAAACGAAACTGGTCAAAGTCCGGGAAAATTGGTGACAGAGCATCGAATAATCCGAATTGCACGAGGCAGGAAACATCTTTTTCAACGAAAAAATTTTTGAAAACACAAAAAAATTACACCAAGAATAACTTATAGCCCGTTATTTGCAATAAACTCTTCTTTACATGAGTTTCTACCATCTCCATGGTGGTTGTTCTAGCGCTTTTTGATAAATAGCTTCTGACTGAAAGTAATGAAACTCAAAAAAAAGTTTCTCATCAGATATTTTCTTTTACTATGCATCGGTGGATAGAAATTCATTCTTTACATTTGCAATCACTGATGAATAAACGCTAAAGCATTTTTGGAAGTAGGCCATGAAGTTCACGTAGCCTAATCACTATTAAGTTTTCGGTAACGACGAATGCTTAGTATGCAATAAACACAGAAGACCACCGCTGATGAAGTAGATTACTTGCATTCACACGTGTACTTTCCTTCAAATCTCATGATCGCAGTTGCTAGAGAAAATGATCGCTTTTATGAACGATGATGGTAGACAGAAAATGCTAAATATTAATTAACTCTTCACCTACTGCCCATTATTTTTACCTGGCAGGATATTATGTGAAATACAACCAAAGTGATGCTGAGACGTTTGCAAAACTTAGACCTCAGGCGAGATTGAACTCTCCATTATCACTTCCAGAGATTCAAGTTTTACTCACTGCACACTTGAGGCTCTTGCTTTGCCTTTCCAAGTTTTGCAAAAATCTCAGGTTCACCACGGTTCTATTTCACATAATACCACGCCGTGAAAAAAAACGGGCAGTAGATAAAAATTTAAGCATTGTGTTTTCGACTATTACCTCACCTTTGCGTTCCCCAGAATATGCCCGTTGACGAAATGTATATATGCACATATATATGCATGTACATATAAACATACGTATACCTCTATGTGCATATATATATACACACGTACATGCATATCCACGTATAAAAAACTAACAACTGTAACAGTTTCCAGGATCGACTTTCTCTTAACCTCGGCATTGGAATATGAATGTGTCGTTTTCTTGTTCAGCAATCGCGAGGTTT